ATCTTAAAATTACTCCGTAGCCGTGACTCTTTCCTTTAATATCGTTGTTCTTTTCTCACATAGCCGAGAAACTTGAACTGAACAACGATTGTGTCCTCATGGGTTGCAATGGTGAAGCCAACTTTTGGCGGTTCAGCCAAATTATTGCCACGGGTCACTTAGTGACCCGCGGGTCATAGGTTGCTGACCACTGGTCTAGAGTAAGTAAAAAATGAAAATTTGAAACTAGACACTTACTAATTTTAAAATATTATGAGTGAAAGTAAATAAAAACATATAACAATATATCAAACACACTATATCTGCCATATGATGTTCAACAAACCATCAGAAATATCCCTTCTACACCCATACAGTCAGATCAAAGCTTGATTCTAAAAATACAATCTGGCGACCTCATGCCAATTATATTGCCAAGGATAAATACATACATAAAGACCATGCAGATAACTATGAAATTCTATATTCATGGCAGCCATTTAGACAGTCAAGTTTAAGCAGACAGCACATGAAGAGCTTAGAAACTTTGCATTCATTCACAAGTCAAGAGTTGATACCTAATTCGATGACGAGGAACCCACTTTGAGACTAATAATGGCTGGAGACGTTGTACCTTTGCTGTTATGTTAAACTTATATTAAAGTTTTTCTTCATTACCCACTCAAGCCGTCTCCAGCCATTACTGATACCTAATGTCCTTATAAATCTACTTAGTGCCCATTTTTATGAAATATGCAATTTCAAATGCCAAGTTTCAGTGCACGTCATATATCTCTTGTCTAAGGTACACCAGTGAGGGAAAATTTCAACACGAAAAAAACAAAATAGTTATTACACGTCTATTTTAAGTTGCACTTGTTTTTAGAAGATACATTCATAAAACATTTTAACACTAGAAAGGTGAAACATGCAGTTTAAAAGGTTTACAAATATGAATGAGTTTTGTATTATTAATATTATACTAAGAATTTAAAGAAGTCACATTTGAAAAAATATTTAAAAAAAAGAGGCGATCCCCTCCCACAAAATGACAAACACGACTGTGTTTAATCTCAACTTCATTTTCATGCTTCGATCTTATTACCCAGTGTCAACATAAATGATATACATAAACTTAGAAAAAAAACTAATCATGAATTTTAAAACTTAAATAAAATTTAATATTACGCAGAAAATGTGCTGTAGCAATATCTGCAGAGTCAAGTGCACTGCTTAATTTGAAAAAAATAAAATAATTTAGGCTAGTTATTCCGCGACTTTTCAACTTTTCATACAATTCCCAACCTACATTCCGCTTCTCTCTAAAAATCAAATTATCTATTATTTCTCATTCTAAAGATTATAAAATGCTTCAGACCTAATGGTGTTACTTTTATTTCTGCCATTGCAATTTCAGCTTTCATCCTAACAAACAAAAATACTGAAATAAAATAGGGTTAACTAAACACACAAACGTATATTATGCGCCATCTAGCGAATAAATGTTTTCCAATGTAAAAAAAAACAAAAAAAAACACGAAAAATTCGTGATAGGAATTTAGCTTTTAAAGGAAAGATACTTTCCTCAACTGGAGTGTTCAGGGATATTGTTATCCCCTTTGCCCCGCTCGCGAACATTTTTTGTTTGTTACTTCATGTGCTTTTTAAATCTTTGCTGGAGAGGTTGGTTATCAAGTCAAACCTTTCACTGTAAGGTTACATTAGCTTTTAAGCGTGACACCACCAACCAAATCGAACTAAACACTCTAAAATTTTGAAAAGATAATATTGTGCAATATTCATTTGGAATGTAAAATTAAGTTACATTATCCCACTTCTATGCACCCAATATCATCATTGACAAGGTATTTTTATTCCTAACAGCTTATTTCGATCAGTTGTTGCTGTTGTTGTTGTTTTATTATTATTATTAAACTAATTTGACAATACGATTTATGAACTTGTTAGGTTATCCAAAAAAAAAAGATACAAAATCTCGAAAGTAGGACACTGACGAATCCAAATTAATTGTCGTGACCCGTGAGTATGGAGGAAGAAACTAAAACGCTAATACATAGTTTATATTTTTCACGTTAATTTGAGAAATATTAGATATTACTGATAGTTTGTAATAACAAAATACCTTATGAATGTTTAATGGCACGAGTGGTAAGACTGGAAGACATAGAGTTGAATTTTGGTAGGGTATATGGCGTCTGCATATTAGGCAAATTTATTTTTCAAACAGAATAGTCAGCCTTTAGAATAGATTGCCCTCAAAGTCAGTAGATGCAGCAGGATTGGAGAGTTCAAGATAGGTCTTGATGAGGGGTTTGAATGTAGGCAGAGGTGTGTTGAAATGAATGGGACAGCCATGATGGGCGAAGTAGTCTCTTGTTGTCCATCAAATGTTATATAAAATAATTAGACATACAAGAAATGTTTCGTTACTAGTTGAGAAAAAGGTGCACTCTTTCAAAAATGTCAGTTTGCTTCAGACTGCAATAAAATATACGACAAATTCTCTTCACTGACTTAGCGGAAAAATCAAAAGATCCTATAAAACATCACGTATAATCTCCCAAATGTTTAACTAGACTAGGTCAAATCGTGTGAATTTGATACAAAAGTTTTAATTTAGGAACATGATTATCTGCATCGTGTAAAATTTACATTATGAGTTTTAAATAAAGTTGACGTTCAGCATTTAGTTACAAGCGCTTTAGTGATGGTGTGTTGCAGGAAGTCGAGTCCACTATATTAAAACGATTTTGGAGGCTCATAGCGACGTTACAGTCCATGTCGCCACGTCAGATATGCTGTCTTTGCATCTAACAGTCGTACATCTTGATGATAGCCATACAGCATAGTTTCTATTGCAAAAGGCTGTCATGTTCAGAGCACATGCCTCCTCCTTAAAGTTTTTCATGGTCCAGTTAGCGTAAGAGGACGACTGTTTCCCTGCATTTGTTTCAATATTTCAGTGTCTAACAGATATCCATAGGCACTGCATTCAGTGACTGGCCAGTACATCATATGACATATCATGAATATCCATTTCATTTACAGCAACAAACATATAAAGAACGTATCAGTCTAATTTGAGTATAAAATTTTGCGTAGAACGCTGACGAGATATCTGATGTTGTCATCCACAATCACTCTCCGTGAAATACGGTACTCCTCGAATATTTGTACACTTCTTTTGATGATATTTTAAATATTCTTACTGTCCTTTTCTGCAAGGAGACTCTGCAGCTCCTCATTTGTGAGTAAGTATAATTTCACGTCTTATGTTCACAAAAACAAATTGAACAAATTATTTGTATTTGAGGCCGTTATGCCATACTGTGTCAAAGGATTTTTGTACATCGAGGATAGTGGCTACAGTGGCTTGA